GAGGGGGGCGGGCGGGCGGGGTGGAGAAGAGAGAGAAGAAAAAAAAAAGATCCGTTTTCAGAACCGAAAACGTGAAAATGAAAACAAGTTTTTTTCGTTTTCACTTTTTCAGAAAAGACAAAAACGTTTTTGTTTTTGGTTTTGTTTTAGATTTTTCCCAAACACATTTTCATTTCCCGTTTTCATTTTTCTTTCTCGAAAAATGTAAAAAATGAAAATGAAAATGGAAACAAACGGGCCCAAAAGAAAAGAAATCCTTTTGTTGTTTAAGAACTGTTATTTCTGAGTAAGAGTATCTCCACTCAATATTATAATTGGTGTACCAATTGAGTTTAAAAAATATTTTTTAATATAATATTATTTATTGTGTTAAATTTTTCATATATTATATTTTAGAATAAATTTTTAATTAAGTATAATATATAAAAAATTTAACATTATTATATATACTAAAGGAGAGGCAGGATTCACTATTCATTGTACAGTGAATTCCCAGATTTGTCCCTCCTTGCTGATGACTAAATTTTTTAATGCCCGATGTGTCCTGTTATTTCCAATCCCGTTTTCTTTTTGCCCCTTTTTTCTCCTTTGGGCATGTTTGTTTGCATTTTCATTTTCATTTTTCACGGTTTTTAAAGTAAAAAAATGAAAACGGGTGTTAAAAACGTGTTTGGTGCAATTTTAAAAAAAAAACAAAACTAAAAACGTTTTCATTTTCATTTTTCACGGTTTTTAAAGTAAAAAAATGAAAACGGGTGTTAAAAACGTGTTTGGTGCAATTTTAAAAAAAAAACAAAACTAAAAACGTTTTCATTTTCATTTTTCACGGTTTTTAAAGTAAAAAAATGAAAACGGGTGTTAAAAACGTGTTTGGTGCAATTTTAAAAAAAAAACAAAACTAAAAACGTTTTCATTTTCATTTTTCACGGTTTTTAAAGTAAAAAAATGAAAACGGGTGTTAAAAACGTGTTTGGTGCAATTTTAAAAAAAAAACAAAACTAAAAACGTTTTCATTTTCATTTTTCACGGTTTTTAAAGTAAAAAAATGAAAACGGGTGTTAAAAACGTGTTTGGTGCAATTTTAAAAAAAAAACAAAACTAAAAACGTTTTCATTTTCATTTTTCACGGTTTTTAAAGTAAAAAAATGAAAACGGGTGTTAAAAACGTGTTTGGTGCAATTTTAAAAAAAAAACAAAACTAAAAACGTTTTCATTTTCATTTTTCACGGTTTTTAAAGTAAAAAAATGAAAACGGGTGTTAAAAACGTGTTTGGTGCAATTTTAAAAAAAAAACAAAACTAAAAACGTTTTCATTTTCATTTTTCACGGTTTTTAAAGTAAAAAAATGAAAACGGGTGTTAAAAACGTGTTTGGTGCAATTTTAAAAAAAAAACAAAACTAAAAACGTTTTCATTTTCATTTTTCACGGTTTTTAAAGTAAAAAAATGAAAACGGGTGTTAAAAACGTGTTTGGTGCAATTTTAAAAAAAAAACAAAACTAAAAACGTTTTCATTTTCATTTTTCACGGTTTTTAAAGTAAAAAAATGAAAACGGGTGTTAAAAACGTGTTTGGTGCAATTTTAAAAAAAAAACAAAACTAAAAACGTTTTCATTTTCATTTTCGTACAGAAAATAAAAATATTTTGAAATCAATTCTAAACGCACCCTTTGTTTCCCCCGGTGTATTTTTTCTGGGTTGTTTTTTATTTGTCTCCTTTCCTTTTTGGTCTCTATCGTTTTGCCTTCTCTGCTTTGCTTTATCTTGGCTTCTTCAATCCTTTGTTATTTTTTTGGCTTTGCTTTGGAGTTTTTGTCTCGATTGTTTTTGGTCCAGAAATTTGGAAGTTTCAAATTTAGGGTTTTTATGTGTCTTTTTTTCTGCGTTCTTCCATAATTTGTCTTTGTTATTTTTGTTGGGTTTCCCATGTGTTCTTACCGCATCATTCGTTCATTGTTCTTTGTTGCTCCTGCATCGGCTTGATTTTTCTCCCCGTGCATCTTTCTTGCAAGTTTTTTCATGGTCAACAATGTCTATTGTAGTTCTTTGCTGATTGATAGGTGATCTTTTGTTCATGTAGGCGGTTGATCTTTGGCTTTAATTTGTACTGAGAAAGCTTATGAAGTTCAGTGCATTCTATGGCAACTCATTTTGTGCCAGGTATGGATAATACTTGATTTTTGTGTGTACTTTTAATCATTTAGATGATGATCTGTGCTGCCTACATTGCTGAGTTGTCTTCCTACCACGATGGTTTGTATCTATTCTTCTCCAGGCATATTAAATGATTTTGTTTTATTATTCAAAATCCATCCTTATTTTACGAAGGAATTTTTTTTTGCCTGTTCTGTTTGCTGCTTTTATCTTTTTTTCCCTATAATTTTTTGCCCCTTCTGTTCTGGTCTTCTACGTGTTATCTAATTACAGGTACGTGTTATCTAATCACAGGCCATTCATTGTTGACTTTTCATACTTTACTCCTTATTTATCAATGCTGCTGCTCTTCATGCATTTATCATGTACATTTGTTTGTCTTTCCCATGCGCTTGACATTTCTTCTCTTTTGTTTCATCCCTGATCATTCACTACTTCATAGCTCCGTTGATCATTTACTGCTTTCTTTGTATATCCCTGTCTCTTTGACTAGCTGTGTTGAGCTTGGCTTCATCCGTGATCATTAACTCCTTTATTCTGTTCCCCGTCATTTAGTGCTCTATTTTTTTTTTATCCTTTTATCTTTGACCACTTCCCTTCTACTTTGGTTGGTTGATGTCTTAAAATTAAGGCAGTGTTTAAGGCACTTCAGGTACTATTAACAGTTTATAATTATGTTATTTAATGAATATCTACTGTTGATTTGTTAATAAATGCTTTTTACTCTTCTTATATCTTATTGCCTACCACCTATATATGCATCTTAATTTCATATCTTTTGTGTCTAGCTGCTATTCTGTTTAAATTCTTTCTGTTCCTTTTCCCGCCTCCTCTATTTTATTTACTCCTTTTATATAGCAATGATGGGTATAATTGATCTTTACATGTTGAGTTTAGTGTAATTTGTCCATGGATTGCTGTGAATAAATTTTATTTTCTTGGATTTTGTTTTTATGTTCGTTTTTT